TGTCTATAGCCCAGTGCTCTGTGAGTAACAATGTTGTAAAGATACGTTCAATTATGATTATTTTCTGAATGATCAACTGTTCTGCTTACTGAAACGTTATTGTTTAATGAATGAATGTTCGTCCTATTTGTAAACTGTATTCATGGCATCCATAGCAATTTACTATTACTGTACTGTTACTGCTACTGTCACAGAGATCTCTGTCGGTTCCCATGTTTAGAACTACTACTGTTTACTGTTATGATGGCCATCAACTGACTGTTCGGTCTATTAAGACCTACTGTACTGTTTTGCTATTGGATGTACCACATATGACTGCTATGGTTTCTAAGTGATTGATATGACTGCTTAAATACTGAAAGGACATTCATTCTTAACCTCTTTACACAACTGTTATTCACTGGGCTTTAGCTCACTATTTATATATATATATATATATATAAGTGTCCAGGCACCGGACCGTAGCTAGGAGCATCAGGTTAACTCTTGTTTTGTTAAGCCAACCTTTGTGCCTCGCCTCGAGGTTCCAAGTTCGTTCAAGCTAGGGCTATTTTGGATGTCTCAGTTTCACCCTTTTGTTTCCGTTTTGTAATAGATGAATAAAACTTGTTTGTACAGCTATGGTGAAGGGATTTGGTCCCTAACCTGAATGTTTTTATGTATCTGAGATGTATATATGTTTTGTTCCTGAATGTGGCTTGTTTATAAAAAGTCTTTTCGCATTCAGACTGTCACAGCTCATTGGACATCTTTTAATTACTGTTTTGGCTTCCGCCAGCCCCTTTACTCTGTATTTCTGTCATTACTGTTAAGCAGGCCTTTGGTAATCACGGATTACTGGCCGATTACGATACTAAACCCATAGGGGCGGGTTTGGGTCGTGACACATGGTGTATGCTTTTTGCATACGATATAGTGCTAGTGGATGAAACTAGAGAAGGAGTTAATATAAAGTTGGAGATTTAGATAAAAAACTCTTGAATATAAAGGATTCTGGATAAGTAGAACTAAAACAGCGTACATAGAGTGTAAATTTAGTAACAGTAATAATGAAAGTAGAGAAGAAGTGAAGATTGAGAATCAAGAACTGCCTAAGAGTGAACGTTTTCGTTATTTATGGTCGATTATCACAACAGCGGGGGAGATTAATGCGGATGTGGCTCATAGGATTAAGGCGGGATGGTGTAAGTGGAGAAATGCGTCTGGGGGTACTGTGCGATAAACGAATATCCACTAAACTTAAAGGTAAGTTCTATAGAACGGCTATTAGACTAGCGATATTGTACGGGACGAAGTGTTGGGCAACCAAGAAATAACATGTAGATGAGATGAGTGTGGCTGAGATGAGAATACTAAGGTGGATGTGTGGCAAGACTAGACAAGACAGAATTAGGAATGAGTATATTCGGGAATGAGTAGAAGTAACACCGAAAGAAGATAAGTTGAGAGAGAATCGATTGAGATAGTTTGGTTATATTCAATGAAAACCAACAGAGGTAATAGTGAAGAGATGCGATGCTGTAACAATAGATGGAAGTGTTAGGGGATGGGGTAGGCCTAGATGAACATTGGTTAGGGTCATAAATAAATATATGAATCTACTTAATTTAACTAACGAAATGGCCTTTGATAGGGCCGCGTGAAGAAGAAGGATTCATATAGCCGACCCCATTTGATGGAACTTAAGGCTTGGTTTGGTTTGGTAAACTAAAATAAATACTTCCCAAACGGGCCTTATATGCCATCTAACCCCCCAAGCACCACCCCCCTCCACCTTCTCTCTTTTATCAGGGCACCATTGAATCCCTCACTAATATGTTTATCTTTATTTATTTATTTTTGGATTATCAAAGTACTACAACATAATATTTTTTTATAAATTTTATTTTAACTTAACAATGGGTAAAACAGACTTCTGATACACACACACACACACACATATATATATATACTAGTTGGACCCCCACGCACTACGCGCGTAGGGGTAGCATTGCTATTTGTTTTTTTAAGTTAGTTTCATATGTGAAACACCCAATTGCATTCCTAGTTATACAGTTGTTGATATTATTCTGCATATCAAGGGGCTCAAAGTATTGAATCTGTCAATTAATCAAGTTTATATATATAGCAACTACTAGTATTCTTATTTCATTTATTTATATATCTTCTTTTAAAAATTTAGTTTCTAAAAATATAGGTAAACGATGTCATATGACCAAAAATGTCATATTGGGACAATTTTTTTAAAAATATCATTTAATAATTTAACTCTTCAAAATTCAATTAGAGAATATCCTAATATGTTCCATAGTAATAATAATAATTATTTGTACTTTGGAAGATCATAGTATATGGACCATTTTTATTTTCAATTAAAAAGCAAAGAAGAAAAATCATATAGCTTTCATCAAACATGAAATATGCAATCAAATATTGGATGAACACATGTTTGAAAAAATGAAGTGAACAAAACTAATAAGAAAATATTATCATAAGGGAAAAGTGAAAAAAATATCTTAAGGAATAAAAATTTAGTGGGATCCAATTCCTAAGTAGTTTTTGGTTCAATAAAATACAATTGAAATAAAATGTTCAGTCTATTCTCAAGTTTAATTTACTATTACTACTTCCTAATAAATCTACATATATTATAAATAAAATTATCATTTATTATTATAAATGAATGTTATTTCGTAGAAAAGCTAAGGAATAAATATTTATTAAAACACACACAAATAACTGTTATTTAGTACAAACGTTAAGGAATAAATATTTATTTAAGCACACATAACATTAGAGGTTTTCTACAATAACTTACTTTGCCTTGTTCGGTAATAGTAAATGTGTTCTTTAGATAATTTTATCACATAGCTGGCACACTATATATATGATTTATCAAAAGCAAGAAGAGTTAAACACTGTAAAAACAAAAGAAAACAAAATACATTAGCTTTCCATTCAAATCAGAATACATAAAATCAAATAGAAAATAATTTAAAATTTTTAGCAAGGTAAAGGCTTATATGAAATTCTTTTCGTTGAGTGAGAAGTGGATTTGTAGCTTTCAAAAAATGTTCCCTCCATTATTCTTCTATGAAACGGTGGTCCAAATAATGATAGCATTTGGTACAAACACATGTTGGCTTTTGGTTGGTTGAGCCAACAGTAGTGTCTCATGTCAATCACTTGGAGGGACTATGGGCAGACACATTAGACACTCCCAAATAGAGCAAGCGAGAAATAGCCACGTAACTGTTACAGGTAAAGGTCAATAAGAGCTCTGTTTGGGAAGTTTAACTATGATGTAAATAGTTAATCTTGTAAGACTTGTTGAGTATATCATTAATAAAAAAATTAAATTAATTGAGCATTTATAGTTACATGATCAGATGATATTTATTTTTTTAAAATTAACTAATCGGTATAAATTTGATAATAGACCCTTTTTTTCACATAATTAATACTCAATTATATAATTATCAATATCCAATTAATTGAATTTTTTTAATGATTTTATTGATGATTTCTACAAGTTTTTTGACAATCACAATAAAAAACAACAACATCCACCACATCATGGATTGTGAGTTGCAACCTCTTTTTCTAGCATGTATGTATTTATCTAAACTTTTCTTTAAATAGTGTGCAAGAGACGGTGCAATGGAGATTGAATATAATTTCTTTTACAAAGATGGTGAAAAAATTATTTTATGGGAATAATCAATTAATCTACTAAATATTTTTGAATTTTTCAAAAAATATACATAATATTAATTTTTCAAATTAAAAAAAAAAATGACACGTACTTGTTGTATTAATAAAATACTCAATAAATTTGATGGTATTGACTAAAATATGAAATAATTGGATGAGTGGTCTAACATCTCCCTAATTTTGCTCTCCTAATTTCACCCTCAATGACATGGCCTACCCTCCATGTGAAGCGATTCTACACCCTTCTCTCTCTTATATTTAGCATCTTTAATTCCACATCATTGAGAGTGAAATTGCATGAGAAAAATTGGAAGATTATTATAATTAGAAATCATCTTATACATGGCGAAGTATTCATAAAAGCAAAAGTTAGGAAAATTAACGATAAAAAAAGAATGGCCAAACCAGACAGAAAACTGAAATTGGATAGTCACCGCTATAAGAGATTCAATTATTTGGTCATTATTTAGCACAAAGGAAAAGGATAAAAAATCCATCTGAACTTAAAGGATCAATTCCAACAAATATTGGATTTGACAATAAGACTCGGAACCTAGATTTTTCTGGATGAGTGATTGTGTAGTGGAGATTAAATTTGTATAGTGTAGAGTACATATGTAAAATAAATATGAATAACAAGATAACAATTCTAAGTAATTTTTGGATTCGTAGTATTACTATTAACTTAAATCTTAGTATGTTTATTTGGTAAATATTAAGTTTTTGTTTAATTGTTGAATATTATAAGAGTAGTTTGTGTGATTGGCACATTATAATTATTTTTCAAATTGATGATAAGTTAAATTTTTTGAATAATGTTATATATTTTTTTTAGAAACAAATTATGTAAAAACGTAGTTCTAAATCAAGCCGAATTGTGTTCAAATAATTAGGGTCAGATTGATTCAATAATTTTAGTGATTTAGTTTGATTACAATTTTTTTAAACCGTAGACAATTAAACTAAAAAAAGGGAAGGCAATTTTGGGCAATTGTACATTATTTTGGCGTTTTGTGTTAGATTTCAGCACCATTCATTCTTTTGTAGATGTTATAGATATGCAGAATTCACAAAACTGCCTATATTTGTTTTCCTTGTTTTGTTCCTGTTTTGTTTTTTTTTTTTTTTTGAGGAATTTGGATTTGGGTTAGATTAGTGCCATGTAGCACTTTCCAGAGCACAAACTCACTCGCACCACCATTTTTGACAATCATTTTAGTTTCTTTTCACTAATTTACAATTCTGCCAAAATCATGACACTTTTAATTGTATCGAACTAAGCGTTCAAAGATGAATAGATAATGGCATAGAGTTACTGACAAGTTTAAACATAAATGAGGCCATTTTTCCATATATGATGTTTTAGGACCTATGTGTGAAAGGCAATATACTCCACAACCACTACTTCCTCTGCATTGCAGCAAAAGCACATTAAGAAAAAAAATACCGAACAGAAAACTCCTGGAAAATTACATACCAACAAAAAATGGACCCGGAAAAAAGAGGGAAAATAAAAAGGTACAAACAAACAAGGACCACGGGTCTTGAGCGTTGGTTTAGTTCCTTCTACCTTTGTTCCGCTTAGAGGCCACTACCGTCCATCCATCTTCTGCTTCAGCTGCTGTGTTGGGTCTTGGCTCATCAACCATCATGTCGTTATTATTCATATTTGACTGGGATTTGGGAGCATCGACAACCATTTCTGACGAATCATCATCCCCTATGCTTCCATCATCATCGTTGTTGTCATCATCACTACTGTCGTCCTGAAGCGTAAAAAAGGAAGCAAAAGAAGGAAAATTAGAACACTAATGAAGTTTAGTATACAACAGTGTTCATATCTTCCATCCAACTAGCATATGTTGTGCTGATTCCAACAAGAAAATTTCCATCATACTGCTACTACAAGATCCACGTAGCACATTCTTCTATCATACTGCTACTACAAGATCCACGTAACACATTCTAACCACTAGATCCACGTAATGCATTGTGATTAGGAGTATTCAAGATATACCATCCAAGTGTCTAAAATAATGAAATTCATTTTTGAATCATGGACATGTCCTCAAGGTATTAAACAAGTGTCTAGAAGTGCGAGTGAGGTGTTGGTGTCCAGAGCATGGCACCTTCATAGAAATGTCATTTGCTTCTTAGCTTGTGAGAAGTGATTCAAAAATTCATCCCTTGGAGCATGCCAATGCCCATTGCACATCTATAACTACTTAATCCATCAACTCCTTGGGGCCATGCTTGCAGGTTCTGTCCGAGATTTGCCCGATCCATATGGGGGGCGCTTTGCATGGGTCCCAGGATTAGTCAAGGTGCGCATAAGCTGGCCCAAACACCCGGACATTAAAAAAAAAAAAAAAAAAAAACTCCCACCTAGTAGTTGTAGTTGACTTTGGTTGTGGAAATAACTTGCTGTATCTAATTCCTTTAACATACCCTGGCCACAGCAACACAAAGTTTACAACTTAACAAGAATGTAAATTAGTGATTAATTTGTCCACAACACAAGGTCTTCAGCACTTTATATTATAGTGCAGCACATCCAACCAATGATCACTACGTTCTCTTATAGCAAATTTCTACATAGGGGAACAATTATTATAGGTTAGCATCATTTTATAGCAGGGCAGACAATCTTTTAGTGCTAATGCCCAACCATTTAAAGCCTTTCATCATTCCATAATTTAAATACCCCATAAGCAGGACAAACATGAGGCACCAAAATGAAGAACGATTCTCATTTATGGAGCATAAAAGTTTTTCAATCAAGGGACGACTACAAATACCTGTCTGATATGAGGAACAACACCTCTCGGAGGATTGGTTTCCTTTAGTATTTGAATTGACTTGTAGTCACCTTCCAAACATTCTTCATGCATAACCATTAATTTCTCTGCTATCTGCATAGAGTTGTTCAGAAAAAACACCACCAAACAACCAATCACTCAATTAGCAAAGATTGCAGAACTGAATGCAAATGCACATAACTTGCAAAGCATACAAATTCAAAATGAAAAATGCAAATGAGCATGAATATATAAAATATATCAATCAACATAAGAAGACCGTGAAAGTCATCATTACTTATCTAAATACAATGAAGGGTGAAACTTATAACTCCTCTCTGGCTGTTAGTGGTATGTGCAGCTTTCACTTCTTCCTCAAATAGTAAGTTATCTATAAAGTTAATTAATCAATATTGTAGAACATTGAGTCCAACCCTATAAGATATCTAAATGACATGGATTTGAACCATTCAAAGCATGAATTTCGTATTATTATGAACAGTAAAGAAGCACATTGATGCTAGAAACAGGAACAAACCCACCAATAATCCTAAGACAGCCCAACTTGCAGCACTAGTATTCTCACAGATTGGACAGGCTCTAAATGTGCACTTTGTAGTAAGTTTAACCTTCCTAGAATAAGAAGAACACAAAAAAGTCACACCTACGCTTTTACCAATGCTTTAAAAAACCCTAGATTTGAATTTGAATGTTTACAGGGAAATGATGGAAATTTGTGGGGAAGCTGGTTCACTAAAACAAGCTCAAAAGGTTTTTAAAACAATAAAATGTTGAAACAAAGGAGTGAAAAGTGAGCCCATAGAAAATGATCTAAAGCCCTTAATACACAACAATGAAAGTAACAACACAAAGTACACTACTAGTATTAAGTGAGATTATATGTGATGTGATCTGACTATAAGATATGATTCTAATAAATATGCAAGAATATGGACAATTCAGGGTTACTAGTGATGTAAGGAACACATACCTCCTCAACACTGCCATCTGCTATCTCAGTATTGAGAGAGAGCATAAATTCATCAAGCATATTTTCCAAGTCATCAATATATAGTGGTTCTGACAAAAACAAAAGGGGAAAAAAAAAAAATTAGACAAGAAAATTTACATCAATATTCAATAATAAATTTGTTAAATCATTACATCCAAACAAGAACCAACTCATGCCCCAAAATACAATTCACCTGGAAAATTGTTAACAATAGAAGCCAACACCATTATTTTGTTTAAAGATGTTTGAGAATATCAAACTTTAAAGAACTCTTGTTACACAACATGATCAGCAGAAATGGGAAAAAAGAAAATGAAGTTATTATCTTTGTTCTATAAAACATAATTAACATCACAGTTCAATATTATACTCAACAAGCTAAAGTATCCATCGAGATTGGTCCTGTCCTGTTTGTTTCAGCACAACATGACAATTTTTCTCAAGCTTCATTCCCCACCAAAAAAAAAAACAAACAAACTGAAGCTAATTGAATTATTAATGACTAGCTTTTCACTGGTAAAGAAAAACCCATCAAATGCATCAGCCAGAAAATCAAAATACATCAATATATATATATATATATATATGTGTGTGTGTGTGTGTGTGTGTTTACATATGTATGTATATATACAATCGACTATAAAAAAGCTGAAGCTAATTGAATTACTAATGACTAGAATTTCACTGGTATACCTATCGCATTGAATTTAAAAAGAAAAACCCATTAAATGTATCAGCTAAAAAATCAAAATAAATAATTGAATTACTAATGTCTAGATTTTCACAGGAATGACTATCGCTTTGAATTTAAAAAGAAAAACCCATCAAATATATCAGCTGAAACAATCAAAATACATCAATGTGTGTTTATGTATGTAAAGAATCTACCTTTGGATTGGGTGAGCCAAGAGAAGATATCGGCTGCCAGTTGTTGAGATTTGAGGCGAGAATCACGGCCGCCCCACTCGTTCTCGACGGCCATCTGAAGGGCGGACCATCGAGACAGAAGCAAATTGATGCCTTCTTGAAGCTGAGCAGCGTTCTCTGCTGAAAGCTGGGCCACCTTCCCAGGATCCATTTGGAACACTCGGTCTGCAAAACCCTAACCCTAAATCCTCATATATGCAGGACCTATTTAGGTTAATTTACACTTATTACTTCCCATGAAGTTTAACAAAAAATACACTAGATTTCACTAAGATGTAAAATAATTACAAATTACCTTGTTGGTTTAATCTCTTTTCTAAAAATTAAGTTTTTATTCAACTTTGCTAATATTTTAAATAATTTTTTTATTTTTTTAGGTACGCCCAATATAAATATATTTAAAAAGTATAAAAGAGAGGCGGAAGCCGTATATAAATAAAACAAGTTAAATAAAATAAATTAAAAATAAAGGGAAATTGACCAGTAAATCCCATATTCCTATTTTATAGACCATATAATCCTAATTGTTATTTTTGTAACCGTTTAGTCCCGTTGAGTGTATGTTGACCAATTTGCCATTGAGGCCTTACTTTTAGGGGTGGGTATTTGGGACGCGCTGGGTTTGTAGCAATAGGGGTGTGATTGTGTGTCTCGTAACAATTAAAAATGTACTAATACCTTTTTTTAGTTGGTGTGTATTGCTGGCATCTTGGCCGTGGACGTGGTTTGAGTGTGTTGAGTGTTGTGCCAGTGATGTGGGTCAGTTCTCAGGTCACGTGATAATGTGTAACCCGACTCACGAAAAGTTTCTAAATTGTTTGTTCGATGTATTTGGGGGTTTGTAAGATTTCGTTTATGGGTTTCGACGTGAAACGCAGAATCTGATACGATCATCCTCTTGTGTGATTTGAAATTCAAATTTCGTTGATTGCGGAACCAACGACACTGATTTAGGAAATATTTGACGCATTCGTTTTATGCATAAAAGAATCCTTAGGGTTGAAAATCATTTATTCGTGGTGGCCAAGAACCCCAATACATTCCGTGGAAGAGGTTGTCGCTCTGCGAACATTCCAGATTAGACTGAGGTTTGTTTGGCTGGGGGTACGAAAAAGTTATTCAAATGCCTGACACAGGTAAGTTGGTAATGGATTGGGTTATTATTTTACGTTTAGCATTCTATATTGACGTGGTTAGGGATTTTGGTTTGGGGCGATCGTGGTAATGTGTTACTCCGCACAGTCAAATATGATATGTATGTATGATTGTCGTTGTAATTTGTTCAGTAATGGCGTGTTTCTGAATATGTGTTTGTTGTGTTGTTTGAATAAAGTTTTGGTTGGTTTTGGAACGTAGGCAAAATTGTACTTATAGGGCCAGTGTGGGGTATGTGTTTGAAGTTTTTTTTGAAAAGGATTAGTTATGGTGTGGGGTTTTTTACTGTCGAGGGAAAAGTGCTTTGTGTGAGGGGACCGCATGCACCTGGTTGTGGGGATGGTATAATTTTTTGGGTGTGTGGAAGTTGTGTGGACGTGGCATGTGTATGCAAGTGTCAAATGTTATTTATTATGTTGCTTTATAAGTGACATTGTTGGTCAAAGGGTTTTTTGATGTGTTTGGTGTACGCGGGCGTTATATGAATGTGGTGTGAACATTTTTTTGTTGGAGTTATAAGTAATTTTGTTTAGTGACATGATTTTTTTTTCAGATTGTGTTGTTGTGAGTAGGTTGGGTAATGTATGTCTATGTGAATTTCTAAAATTTTTCAGTTTGTGGTGAAGTTGTATTTGTTGCTTATGCGAGTTGTGGAACTGCAGGGGTTAATTCTGCTGGGTCTCGGTGGACACGGTCATGTGAATGTAAAAGGCAAGAGGCATTGGGCTTGTCATCGAGAAGAAAAATTGGGGTGAACATGCCTGGACGAATCTTGTTTAATATTGTCAGCCGGTCCGTTGGTGCTAGGAAGGCTGTCAAATCACGGCTCAATTTTCGGTCTAACGTTGCTGGGATCATTAAATTGGTTTACGCAGTCAATTTGCGGGAAGTGCACCTGGCATACTTGAGAAGGACACCGTTTTGGATTATGATTGAAGTTATATTAATCAACCAGCTTGATCACACAGAGTTCCGAAAGGGCGACGATCTGATCGTGCGTATCCTAAGGTCATACAGTGTACGGGAAGGCAAGTTTGTTCTGGGTGGTTGTGGAGTTGACTTGACAGATGAGGATATGAAGCTGTTGTTCGGGCTGCTAGGTGGTAATGCATTCCTTGATTTGACGCCACGACCGAGGCCTGCGTCTGATTTTGTCCAGCGTAGGTGTCCAGGGACAAACAGGATAACGGCCAAACTTGTGAGGGATTTGCTGATGGAGGCCTCGGTGGGGGACACCCCGCACGATCATGAGGATATGGCCAAGTTTCTTTGTCTCTATGCGTGTGGGAAGCTTTTCTTTGCCACGTCCGGAGAGACCATTAGTTGGACCCTGATACGGTACGTGGACAACTTTGAGGCCATGAAATTATATGATTGGGGTGCAGCTATACGTAATATGCTCATGTGTTCGGTAAGGGACTTCCATCGGACATCGGAGAAAGTTACCGGATGCGTAGTTGTTTTAACGGTAAGTGTACAACCTGTCTGTTGGTAGTTAGTTTCTTGGCTAACCTAAGTTTTTGGTTTTTGTTAAGATTTTTGAGTGGTTGTTATTATGGTTTTGTTGTTTCCTACTTGTTTGTGGTGCAGTTTTGGTTGTGTGAACATACAGACATTGTGAAGCCGAAATATGGTCACAGGTTCCCCAGGTTCCTCAGATGGGACGTTGGTGAGCTGATATCTACTTCACAAAGTGTGAAGCTGTCCGATACAAATAAGTTTGAGGTAATTATTTATGAATCGTTGTGTTTTTTGTTAGGGCATCCAGTAATGTGTTTTATGCTGTTGTTGTTTTGTGTGGTTGCACTGATGTTGGTTTGTAAAATATGCTGTTTTGGCTAGGTGATCACGGACGAGTTGATCGTACAGGCGCACGAAGTGTCAATGTTGGAGGGGAAGGGTATGTTGGGGGAAGGTAATGTGGGTCTGGTTGAAAAAGAGGGTGTTAAAGTGACAGGAGTGACTGTTAGTAGGACTGCTGCAGTGGCTGTTAAAGTGGAGGGCAGGAGCCATGGTAAGCAGTGTAGTGGGAGCATACATAAGGAAGACGTTAATGTGCCGTTTGTCATGCGTAGTCTGGAAAGTGGGGGTGTATCCGGCGAGGTGGTGGATGGGGGGGATGGTAAGTTCTTACCCCCGTTCAGTAGTCCGACCGGGAAGAACAATTGCAGACATGTTGGTTCAAGAAGTCCTGATTTTATAACTGGGGATGCAGGAGACAACAAAATTATAATGGAATTGAAGAACGAAGTTGATAGATTGAAAAGGAAGAATGAAATGCAATCAGTTAATTTGGTGGCAGGATTTGAGAGCATTTTTAAGGTGAAAGATGAAGAATGCAAGAAACTTGTAGCTGAGAATGACGAGTTACGACGGAGCCGTGCAGCCCTTGAGGAACAAGTTGCTGAGCAAGCAGTGCATAGTGTGACGCAACATTTTTCCAGTGTGAATGTCATGGACCCTTGTGTTGACGGATATGTTGTTCGTAATAGGGTTGGTGTTGGTAATGGACTGGACCACTGCCCAAATGTTGAAGGTGGTATCATGGTGGACGCCTCTCCCGTCGCATATGTTCCCATAGTTGACAACAACGAAATGCACGATCCTATCCAAGCAGATGACAGTGACGTTGTTGTTGTGAGTCCTTTGTTGACGGAAGGTGGCAGTGCTGTGGGTGGTATGAACTCCTTTGTACGTAACATCAAAGATAAAGTGAGGAAAAATCTGAAGATATCCGGGTTTGAGTACCCAGAGTTGAGGCGTAGGGGACGGGTGATGAACAACGAAGTGAACGTTTCTAAGACCGGGGGGGTTGGATGTAGTGTTGATGTGATGAAAAGCGAAAGTATGATTGATGTGGACAGTGTTGGTGATGGGAAGAAAATTTTCACAGGTTTTGGAATCACGAATCGTAACACAGTGTGGAAGATGATGACTGAGATAGAAAAAGATGTGATAAGCAATGCGTATGATAGATACGGTGATAGGTCAGTACTGTGTGTGTTTGTGGGTTTAATTTTTAAGGTGTGCAATACTAATTGCAATGGTAGTTTTTTTGTACTGTAGTACACAATGTTATTGTCGTTTATGTAATTGTAATGTTATATGTTGACATGTGTGTAGGGCTGTAATGTGGGTTGGTCGAATTGATGGGAATGCAGTATATTTTTCGGACGTTAGATCACTGGTGAGGCAATTTGGTGTGCGTGGGAATGTAAGTGTTACCAATTGTATTATGGGTCATACTGGTTTACCAAAATAACTGTTTTGTGAATATGTGTGAATGTGTGAATATTGGTTTTATTTGGATTCTGGCACTGTTTGTGGCAGGTTATTGACGCATTCGCAGAGGTGCTGTCTGATGAGCAGGAAAGGTTGAATGCGGGAAAAGATTTTTCGGAGAACTCTTATTTCTTCAGCAACATATGCTGGGTAAGTGTTTTTTAGGTATCCATTGTGTGTCATTGTTTGTGGATGGTGTTGAGTGATGTTGTTATTTTGGTTTGTTGTGTGTTTGATGTGTGCAGGACGTGATGAAAGGTGACAATGTGGAGGCAAGATTCAAGTATGTGACGAGCAATCTACATGCTGGTAGGGATGCACGTTACATGCATTTCCCGGTTTGCCACCTTGGTCAATGGACGTTAGTGGTTTATGATACTGAGGACGGAAGTTGGAAGCACTACAATTCGATGCGGAGCAGGACCGGTACCGGCGGTGTGCACTACGCGGAGGCTGTAAAACTGGTGCGTTGATTTGAATAATGTTAGAGTTGACGAGTATGTACGTGTATTGGAATTACATGTTATACATTTCATTGGGTTTGCTTTTATGGCGCAGAAAAAAATTGTAACTGACATTCAGCGGCAAGCGATGGCTGCAAATGGCTTGGATCAGCTGGTTGGTACGCAGGATTTTGATATAATGGTGGAATCAGTTTCGGAATGCCCCCAGCAGCGTGCGGAAACGTAAGTGCAACATCTTTTTTTTTTAAAAAAAGTTGTTCCTGTAGAAGATTTGTGATGTGTGTTGTTGACTGACCGTTT